GTTCTGCTGGGTGGGTACATTCCACAGAAATGGCCTTTCTCATGACATTTGTCTCAGCTAGTCCATGCAAGGCTGTGAGCTGGGGACTCCCTGAGGGACTCCTCCAACATGGAAAAGAATTGCTTCATTTCTGGATGTCCTGTTTCCCTTAGGGAGGACCAGCTCAGGCTCCCATCTCAGTGAGAGGCCACTTGGGTCAGGCTGAAACTCCCTTCCTTTCCCTGAAGAAATGCAGTGCCTTTTCTCACTGTTAAGCCTCAGAGACAAGACCAGTAACAGAAGATATCTGGAATATCACATAACGCAAACTGGTAATGCCCAAGAAGTTCCTCTAGAATAAAGGAGGGGTTATCCCAGGCTGGGTCAGGAAAGATCATGGTTTACTAACAAAGCTCAGATTTGGGGGAGGGCAGCTGAACTGTGGGTTACGTGCTGGTCTCCATGTGATATGGTTGGGAAAAAGGCCAAATTAGGAGAGAGGAGGCATGACTTCTTCCAGCTTGGTCACAAAAAGGTGATGATTGGTAATGCTAAGGAGGAAAATAGTGATGATGAGGATGATCGCGAGATGATGGTGGTAGCTGTCACTGACTGAACCCTTACTATGTGCCAAGTACAGTGCTAACTACTTTATGAATGTTCTCATATGAAAACCTCTGTCTCCTAGGCATGATTAGCCCCATTCTACAGATTGAGGCTAAGTTAACAATCCAATCACCCATAGGTAGGAAAGGGATGGAACCAGGACTTAACCTTGGTTTGTAACTGAGTTACCTCTAGTTCGTTAAAACTAGGGTATCTGTTTCCTCATTTGCAAAAAAGCATGGGCTAACGATCTGGCTTTATAATCTGGAATGATCTTTGTCCTCGTTGCCAAGATGAAAGGACAGTTTGGAATCCGGTGGAGAAGGAAGATGGTGTTCCAACGGAACTGTTCACTCAGAGGAGGCAGTTGGGAAATTCTATCACTCCTCCCTTTGTGAGCAGTGTGTTATTCAGGCCTGGAAAACATCTGAGAAGTGACAGAAGCTGTTGGAGAATTCCAGGGGAGCAAGGTCACTCAACAAAAGGAGTAAGGAACAGATGACTGCAATTCTAAATTTGCCTTTTTTCCCTTAACTGGAAGCCACTGGATTTTTCCAGACAATGTTTGGAAAGCTAAAATCTGATTACCCCAAATAACAGACACAAAAAGATGTTGAGGCTTTACATATTCATTTGGCTGGTAAAAAGGAAAGGGAGAACAGTGAAATAATGTTTCATTTATCTACTTTATGGAATTCTTCAGAGTTTGACGTCGCTACTTTTAAATGTTTGAGAGTAAAAACAGTATTTTCATTAGATGGCTTTACTCTTTTAATATTCTTTTTGGACAAGCTGTGTGGACCCAGTCCACACTCTGGAATTTGAGCCTGACTCTGTGGCTCAGTTTTTCTTAGGATAACATGGAAATTACATGTGATCTCTCACTGCCTCAGTGGAAGAATGAATTAATTGAACTTACCAGAAAGAAGAATTATTGAGCTAAAAACATTTGTGTTTTTGCCAGGGACTCCACAGTCTTCTCTCCATGCTCAACCCCTGTCAAACGTGTGGGCATCTCCACCCACACCTTCCTGTCTGGGCTGAGAGATGACAAGTGGGAAAGCTTCTCATGAAAGCTCTCCTGGAGGTGCCTGAACCCTCTGTCACCTGTGGTTCTTTGGCGTACAAAACACTGGCATTCTGTTTATGTCACTGTGCCTAGAAGGAGGTGCCCACTCTACATAGTGCACCCTCTTTACAGGCATCGCCCTTTGTGGTTCTACAATCCTCCATCACAGGGCAGGGGGTTGCAATGGACTGAATGCTTGTTTTTACCCCAAAATTGATAAGTTGAAATCCGAACCCTCAAGGTGATAGGATTGAGAGGTGGGCCTTTGGAAAGTGATTAGGTCATGAGGATAGAATTCTCACAAATGGGATTAGAGCCTTTATAAAAATGACCCCAGATAGCTCCCCTGCCCTCTTTCTGCCATGTGAGGATATAAGGAGAAGTGAAACCAGAAGAGGGCCCTCCCCAGAAAAGACCACGCTGCCACACTGATCTTAGACTTCTAGCCTCCTCAACCGCAAGGCACTGATTTCTGTGGTTGAAAAAGCACTCAGTCTATGGGGTTCTCACAGCCGGAACTAAATTGGGGGTGTAGCTGAAGGAGCTCCTGGCCGTTCTTGGGGTAGGTAGAAAGACTTTTTTGTGACTTCCTGTAATTTCTTCTGTCAAATCACAACTCACATTGAAGCAAACAGCCCACTGATGTCAGCTAGAGCCTGATGGGCCTCACACATTATATTGGTCCTTAAGAGATCAAAGATGAAGTAGGCTCTGTTTTGCTCCCATCGGATCTATGCTCAAAGGCCTCATCATTTGAGCCTGAGGAAAGAAGGCCTCAGCCTTGCATCTTATACTCCCCTCCTAAAAATGGTCTGATTTTGTTTATCTCAGTATCCCTGTTGGGAAGATGGACCCATAACACAGCCAGCAATGTATGGATCACCTGGGGATTACTAGCAGTGCATGGATCACCTGGGGATTACTAGCAGTGCATAGATCACCTGGGGATTACTAGCAGTGCATGGATCACCTGGAGATTATTACTAGCAGTGCATGGATCACCTGGGGATTACTAGCAGTACGTGAATCACTAGGGGATTATTAGCAGTGTGTGGATCACTTGGGGAATACTAACAGTGTATGAATTATTAGGGGTGCCAAATGGTTCACAAGTGGACTCACTGATGGGGCTATGGACAAATGGGCAGATTTGAACAGGAACTTTTCAGTCACATACACACAGGAGACATAGATGACAGTGTTCATAGAAGTCCCATTTGACATAGAAAAACACCTGGAAAAGAGCACATGTCCACTGTCCAAAAAAATGAATAAACAAGACATGGCATATTTCACATGCTATCATGCTGTTACACAACCATGTAATGAACAAACCACAGCTACTTGAAACAACACGGATGGACTGAGAAACACAATGCTGAATAGAAAAAGAGCCGTTCAAAAAGACTATATGTGGTATGGCACTCTTTATAAAGGTCAAAAATAAGCAAAGCTGGTTTGGATACACCTATGTGGGAAGTAGAAAAGAAAACAGGGAAATTATAAATACAAAATTGCAAGTAGCAGCTTCATCTGGAACGTAAAGCATGAGAACAAGGTAAAGGAGGAACACGGGGTGAAGGAATGATGTTGGCGATGCTCTGTAGCTCTTGCACTGGGTAACAGACTTGCGGGCTAGTATCTCATGCGGCATAAGACTGAGATACAGGTTACAGAGATTCTTTTGTAGATATGAGATATTACATTAAGATAGTAAGATTAGAAAATGGAAATAAATCTGTAGTCATGATGACTTACCTGGGTAAAATAATTCAAACTTCAGAGTTCAAAAGCTTAGAAGAGACCTAGTTGAAACCCCTCATTTTATGTATGGCAAGATGACTTCCAAATTGGAAATACATTCAGCCACAGCCACATGACCCTTCAGTGACTGGGTGGAGACAGAATTCCTGTGTCATCACTCTCAGTCCACAATTACCCTTTCCCTACTTACCCCTGTAAATTCCTTTTTATTTTTCCTTTTCATGAAATGGTAACTAAAAGCAACACTTAGCTGGCCCTCACAAGGGATGGATTAAACACCTCTGATCCAGAAGAACAGGGAAAGCATACTCCTTGAGCAAGCAAAGCCAAGTCTCTCTCTGGTTATGTTGCCTTTGGCAGGAGTGGGAGTGGCTGATTTGGACCTAACAGTGTACATACTAAAGCATTAAGAAGTTTAACTTAACTCTAATTTGTGGCTTTTTGCTATCTTAAAATAAAATGGTGGCTCAGAGATTTACTAGTGAGCATATTTTCTGCAATTATGATTTTAATAACATTTTGAATGTGGATGGGATGTAGACCTGGCTCTAAGGGAAGAAGAAAATGTGTCTTTTCAAATGAAGTGTCCATTTTCAATATTTTATTAAATTACTGACAGTGGTGAAAAGAATTGTGGTGTATCACATTTATGTATTTTACTTAAAATCAAGTATTTGCCTCCTTTCCCCCCCCAAAATAGAATGAGATAGAACAAGTCAATTAATCCAGTCCCTCTACTGTGGGTGCCCTAGAGTGTGGCCCAAGAGTCTGCCACCCTCTCTGTGGGTCTCTGTTGCTGGACCTGCACCTTTCAGTGCATTAGAACTCCACCATACTGAGTGCGATCCTGCTGTTGAAGAGCATGCATTTTATTTCTACAGCATCACCACCTAACGCTTGCCCCTTACTTCCATGGTCATCCTTCCAATACTGAGGGGAAAACTTGCTATGTTGAACTTGTTGAGAAATGAAATGTTTGTATACTATCCTTTATGAATGATTTAAAAGATTTCCATGGCCTGATAGTCATTAGAGCTATTCACCAACTATTTCTAATTTTCTTCCTGTAAATCTGTTGAAGTTGCACTTCCTTCCTTTCTTGAAGTTAGATGGAGCTTGTGAATTGCTTTGGCCCTTAAAATATGAGCAGAAGTGAGGTACATACATTCAGGGGAAGCTGTAAGAATCCACGTAAGATTTGACACGTTCCTCTTCCTGCACTGGCAGCTGCAGCAGCAGGGAGATGGAATCTTCCTCATACATCCTGAGTGAGGATAGCACAGAGCAGTCTCCCAGCCAACTGGTAATGGACATATCACATGAATAAGAAATATACTTTGGTTGTTTTAAGGCCCTGAGCTTTGGGGGCTACCCCATACTGGCTGATTCATTGATTATACAGCATTTAGTCCAACTCACTAACTTGAGATCACAAGACATAACTCCAGTATATATTCAGGCTTCCTAGAAAATATTCATTTTAACATTGTAGCCATCAATTCATATGTTTCCACAAAAGAAACACTACTACATAACCAACAATTAGTCTAAAATGGGAATTAAAGAAGAGGCAACAACCAAAGAAATTGGAATCCACATTTATTGATGAGAGATATATACACAGAAGTTAAAACACTTAGTGAAATATTGGATTCACAGGTTATTTCCAGTATATAAAGAATATCCAGTTATTTTACACATGAAATGTTACAGTAATCAGTCCACATTGTAAGAAAGCTTAGAAAGCTAAAGGCGAAAACAAAAGACCTCAACTACCCAAAATGTGCTTCATCAACAAGGCATTTTCTAGTACCATATATGAGAAACAATTCAAAAATTAGTTGAAGATTTTACCTGTTTGCATTCATTAGTCTTTGAACACTATGTGCTATAGATGCTCTGTGCTACGTGACTTCAGACCAATGGGGATCATGAATGTGAGGAATACAATTATTTTTATCTTTCGTTCTGGACATACAAGAATTTTCAAAGAGAATCCTGCATAAAGCCCAGTTTTCTTTCAGTGGGTATTCCATATTAAATTTGAAAAGAGTTGAAGAAGCCACATTTTCAAGGAAAAATTAGCCTGTCCACCGTATATCTTCATATGAAAAAGCCACTGCAAATTAATGTGCTTCGTGCCCCCCTGGTGACATCATAGGCTTTACCCTTCTTGTGAAAAGAGTAGGGCACTAGGAGTTCCCTATAGCACATGGCTATTTCTTCTCTTCCTGGGGGAGAAGAAAGGGGTTATAGGAACTATAGATCTCACAGCATTGTTTTTAGTGATAATTACACAGAATATGAGAACATGTGCTTTAATAGGCAAGTGTATATTTGCATTAGTTAATCCCATCTTCGGTCATTCAAAACATGCACACAGAACATATTAGGTAGAGGAGGTCATACTCCCTCACAAACGTGGGACCTGTGCTTCATCGGTTACCCCTCTACAACCCCCTAAGCTGTACACTGACTATTCCTGTGCTTCTAGTGCTCTACGTTTTTGCAGACAACTGTGAAGTTCACAGCCAGAACTGTGCTTCTGTGGGGTTTCACCTGCATGTCTATTTGCAGTTAGTTAGTCAGCAAATGTTTTTCCTGTACCCTGACTCAAAAAGCCAAGGGAGACAAGGCTCTTCAGAACTTTTCAGTCATGAGCATCATGATGAGTATTTGGCAACCAGAGAGGCCGACCTTTCTCTAAAGACATGATGCTAATATGAACAGGGGCAGACTAACTTTTTGTCTCTCTAAGCCCAATCCACCAAGCAAAGGAGGACTGTAGATGAATGTTCTCATTTTAAACCTACTTAAGCCTAGGTAATCAAAAGTTCTACAGTTGCATTCACCAGGTATTATATAGACATGAGATGACCTTTCACTAAGAACCAGGACATACACCCAGCCCATCCCTGCTCTGAATTGTGTATTTACAAAGGTGCTGGACACACACAGACTTTCAAACAATCATCAGTACAAAGGATTTATAGATAAATTCTTCACTCATATATATCCCCAAACCACACTGAGAAGGGGGAGAAATGCTTCACGGCTAGTTATCTAAGTAGGAAAAGAAAGGTTTGCAGATCACCGATCAACATGTCTACTGCATTTAGATGAATAGCCAAAAAATAACATATACATTAAATTACAATACATCTATACACCATTTCACTGAAATTACACCTAGATCCCTACATTATAGCTACACAAAGTGCATAGGCACTGTTCTTCATGCGTGAACCAAGTGTCAGTGTGTACACACAAGAGCTTCATGCTTTGACAGCTAGCTGTACTTGAAAATAGATACAATTATTGCCAGTTGAGGGTACATCTAATCTGCTTGTTTAATGAAGAGCAGGTTCAAATACATACCAATATGCTTTCTATGTAACTGACTACTTTTTGAGCCATGATAAAAATACTAGCCCTACCACCATCTCAGAAAGTATATTTGGCGGAAGGACCTCGTCTTTGCAGTGGCTATTGTTTTAACTTTCGGGGAAGTTACATAGTCTGTTATTCACGTGAGAACAGAAACTACCTGGGCTGCTTCTAAACAATTTCAATATGATTCTAAGCCCCCATTTCCAGCCCCCAGTGATACAGTATTGCCTCATAGCTGGTTCTAAAGAATTTTTAAACTTTCTTTAACAATGTGTGCTCAATTCACATAACAATGTGACATTTACTACCAATTTTCTAGGCAAGAATTAACTGCAACAAATCTGTCCTGATTTCATCTTGAGCACTGATCCTCAGTCTCTGCTATTCAAAGTTTTCCTAAGCCAATTTTCACATAAACATTTAGAAAGGTATGAAACATTCTGATCTAGAAATGATCCTACTATTAACACGTTGTCTTTGATAGTCTTAGAGAAAAGCAAAGTTAGAATGCTCCGCTGGAAAAACAAGGCCTGGTGTCAAAAATTTTAAAAATCAGCACCATTCCTTTAGTTAAGAAGATGAAGTGTTTAGATGCGTATCCTAACCAGCTAAGGGTTTTAAGCAATTCCTTGTTCTTAATGGTTCGTTTTGTTCATTGCATCACTAAGGACTGGGTTCTTAAATTTGTCAAATGTGACTACACAGTCAGGAAAGAATTGATAGCTCTAAATTGCTGAAGAAACTTCTTGTGCTCTAGTTATCATTCTACATGTCCGGTTATATAGAAAATACCATAAGAAAATATGTCTGCAAAATTACAGATACTAAATAGATTAGTTCAGTCTACACTGAGTTCTTCATAATTTCTGATGAATAGTTACAAACCTATAACAGTATTAAAGGATAAATTAATATTAAACATATAATATCCAGGTCTATAAATACATTTTCTAATGCTCTTTATAAATAATAGCAAACAAGCTAGGGGATTTGTTTAAAAAAATGTAAGACTGGGCTGGAGGAATTTGTGGTTTTAGGGTGCAATACTGATCAGAGGGCAATATGTTACCCCTGGTAACACAGACTCTTACCAGGAAGCCAAAATATATCTGCTGGCAACAAGATCAAGTTAGATTCACAGTTTGCCAGCTCTCTCCTCAAGCTGTAGAAAACAAATAGAAAAACAATATATAAAAATCCTCAAAAAAGTAGTTTTTTTATATACAAATCTCTATAGTGACCAGATAATCTGATCTGTGTTGTGCAACATGGAGATGCAATGCTGAGGTTTTTCCAAGAGAAGGACGAAGGGAGGGAGTTAAGGTGATTTGTAGAAAAATGTAGATGCCCAAGAATGAGTTTCTATAAGGGAAGTAACTCTCATGGAGTATCAAACCACCAGACAGCCAACTTTCTGATCATGTATCTCAGGGAATTTGCTCCATGAGTCCACGGGGGAGAAACCTCAGAGATGTGCTGGACCAACTTCCTTGGCTAGTGTGTGTATTTGCCCCCCCACCAAAGGCAACAGGCTGTTTCCAGGCAGGCAAAATGGTTGCCATGAGAAGAAATAATGCCCCAGAGGGAGTGAGGCTCTGCCTGCATCATCTCCACCTCCACAGGAGATGATGACAAGGGTAACAGTCAGTTGTCTGGTTCTAACACTCACCTAAGGATTGGGGGTGTCTCCAGAGGAACTGAGGACCTGTTGCTACCCATTCTCTAGGTCAACTGCTGACTCTACAAAGCAGTGAGGTCTGTTCCAACAGCAGGTTTTATTCTCAGCACAAAAGGGCCCTGTGTAAAAACCAGAAGGACTTTGTAAAATAGCAAAACGAATATTTGGCCTGGAGGTTGGAAAGTGAAGCAAGGCTGGACATAGAAAACTGATATGGTTTAGGATAAATGAAATGGGGGCTTAGGGGCATCTCTCACTTTCTACAGGTTCTTATCTGGGTCAGTGAAGATATTATGCTCATCTTGCTGTCTTTGCATCAAGTTTTTTTGCACTAACGGAAAAAAAAACAGCCAACAAACAAAACCCAATTCTTTTAGTCCTAGCTTTACATCTTGCCCCTGCAAATACTGAAGAGCTAAAGTCTTCTCTAGCAATAAAGGAGTTCACAACACAATAAATACCAACTCTTGTCTACTTAGCAGAAATTTGGGCAGAGAGCAAAGGTGCCAGCCATGGCCCATTGCAGCAGTCCCGGAAAGTGCAAGAGGTTGTTTAAAGATCATGGCTGGAGGCATGCAGCTTGTAGAGCATGCATTGTATCCCACTCACCCTCGAAACTCATCAGACCTTGAAGAGGGCAATGATAGTCAGAAAATTCCATTCTTCTAAGAGTGTCTCGTCCTGCAATGTGATGCCCAGGATAAAAACAAACCAAGAGGGAAATGTGAAAATGAATCTGGGCTTACTTATGAATGGATGTGCATATCTACATACTGGCAGAGAAGGGAAGATATTTACAAACAGTTGTGATTGTGTAAGTCTTGCACCAAATTTCATAAGTGTTCAAGGTTATTTGCCAAAGGCTCTCAAATCCCCATACTGGCTTGGCAGTTAGGACTGTTGGAGAAAAATGTGTTTTGGGTATTCAGAGTGGGCTCTGTTGCTACAGCAGGAATGATACGACAGCTTGAGTGAGGCTATAGGTTCATCCAGTCCTCTCATGGTGACCCTGGAAGCATTTTTCCCTGAGCCAAATCACTACTTCTATTAGGAAGATGAGTTTAGGTAAAGGAAACTTTTATTAAAAAATATTTATTGGTGTCTCAAAGCATCAAACTGTGAATGAACATGGCTATCTTCCAAGCTTGTTGTAAAACATCAAATGAATGAGGCTTGAATTTAATTTCTCCCAAAGGGGATGAGAAAAATCTAAATTGATTATTCATTGTTGTGGGCTTCTTCTACTTAAAATGTAAATAGGTCACATTTTATAGTAGGAAGCCTCTTAAGAAGGAAACAAAGCCAAGATCATAAAGCATTGGGCTCACAGGGCTGGAAAGGGATTTTAATCACTTAATCAAACCCCTTCACTTTTCATATGGGAGAAAATGAGGCTTGGACATAAAGTGACTTGTGTAAGTCACACAGCTAAAAATGGGCAGAGTCTAAATCAAATGTTCCCTCTACCAAACCATGTTGTTTCTTACCATCTCTGTATCATTGCCTGAATTAGCTGTGTTATGCTATGAAGTTGGATACTGTTTAATCAAAAGTCTCTTATCTATTCTAAAACCAAGCCTCTCACTAACTGTGTGATGGTTACTAAGCTGACTGGTGGTAAAGTAGCAACAATAAGTGGAATGATAGGAAAGGAGGAGGAGAAGTAGAAAATTCGGTTTTCTTTTAGGGAAAATCATAAGCAAATGTTTCATGAGCAGCTGGAAACTCACTCTATGCTTGCACAACAGTCTGCCTCTAGTGCCACCTGCCTGGATTGGCACTCAGTGATCCTTCTAGGCTTAACCAGAAATTACTACAGATACTGGGACCATTTATCTTCTTTGACAATTACAAAACTCTCACTCCAGAATTCTTTCAGGCTGTTTGCTTTAACTTAGTCTTCTTATGCACCCAGACTCTAGCATTCTTTTTTTTTTTTTTTTTTTTTTTTGACAGAGTTTCACTCTTGTTACCCAGGCTGGAGTTCAATGGTGTGATCTGGGCTCACCGCAACCTCCACCTCCTGGGTTCAGGCAATTCTCCTGCCTCAGCCTCCTGAATAGCTGGGATTACAGGCACATGCCACCATGCCCAGATAATTTTTTGTATTTTTAGTAGGAACGGGGTTTCACCATGTTGACCAGGATGGTCTCGATCTCTTGACCTCATGATCCACCCGCCTCGGCCTCCCAAAGTGCTGGGATTACAGGCGTGAGCCATCACTCCCGGCCGACTCTAGCATTCTTATTCGAAGAGCAAGTATGACAATAACTGAAAATTTCATTTGGTCCTTTCTCTTGGTGTGGAATGAGTTTGGTTACAGAGTAAGTAAAGCAAACCAGCAGCTCAGACAACTGGATAGCCCTAAAGTTAGTGAGCAGCTAAGTGAGAAGAACCACTTCTACTGGGGTATAACTGCTGTGCACTTTTATCATCAAACCAGTTGAGAGCTGATGAGACTTGTTTTTCAAGAGTCGGAACTATGGAGAATTCTCTCTGAGCGTGGATATACCTACTTGGATTTATTGCTGCATTCCATGAATATTGCACAGGTAGCTGAAATTTTGATTCTGAAAAAGTAAAAAACTATAACATAACTTTTGTTGTTGAGAGCAAAGGGATGTGTAGTATTTGCAAAAACATGGCAGAACTGGGTTTCCTTTGGAAAACACAGTAAATGAGATTCCCAAACACTTTACTCCAAAAGATCTTCTTGACTAGATACATTTGCAAATGACACATTTCTCCATGCACACGTGGAAATGACCAGAGATTCTCTAATCAACAGGTCATTGGGATGCCTGCCATCACCTATTAGGAATCTCCCCATGATTTGAATTTTCCCTAAGCCTTTCTCATATTCCTTGAGTCTAAATCCAGGATCTAGGCATTTTTTGGCACCCCTTCTTTCAGCTTTCATGAATATCCAGGCTGACTAGTGGTTCGAGAGGAGAAAGAACTATTTGTCTTTTACAGGGTACAGTAATGTCTGCAGGCAGCAAAATCACAGGTTGTGTGTCTATCCTCAGTAGGAAGTAAAAACTGAATCTGATAGCTATGTATTTCAGATCTCATCACCTAGAGTCCTATGTTGAAGATCTGTGGGATCTAGATGGTTGCCCTGATTTTCTGATGCTCTCTGTATGGGAAGCATGTCCCCGAAGATCTAAGGTAAAGCATTACCCTGCAAGGTAAGCTATTCTTCTCACTGGTTGGATTTGATTCATTGAATTTCAGTAAAGAATTAGGTGATGATTCCACTTGGGTTTCTCAAAAGACAAGTATGAGAAAGAGAAGGATTAAAGTCTATTTAGTTGGCTTTCTCTTGAAATGATCCTGACTTCTAAAAAAAGTGAATGAGTCTATAACAAAATGGCATTGCCAAAGCCCTGATTTACAGACCTTACAGGATGCAGTGTAAGTATGTTTCTGGCCTGCTGTAACTGTATATAAATGTAACATTTATGCATTATCAAACAGTAATGGACTATTACAAGCATTCACATCTATGTTGAACAAATTAGAAAAAAATCTATACATATAATTGACAGGTTAAATGTATTCTATTTAGATAAAGGTTATTAGAGGTATACCCTGGATCCATTTGTTCTGTTTATGGCACATATGCTGGGCAAAGAAAATCCCAAATGGGCATAGCATGGGAGAAATAAATGAGGTCTAAAAGAAAAAAACAGAGGACATAGACATATGTCAACTCTACGTACATCTTGGATTTTCAGGCTAGTCCTGAGTTCAAGAAACTGTTTATTAATATGACTTATTGAATTTCCAGATGAATGCAATTTTCTAGAGACTTCCTGCATACAGTAAATCTCAAACCAGAAAAACTTGCTTTGTGAAGTTGTGTACCTTGTTTCCTCTAAACACGTCTGCTGATATATTTACATGCTAATAGGATAGCTAGGAAAAAGTGGGAGACAAAACACACCGGAAAGGTTTTCAAGCAGAGTTTTGAGAAGACAATCCTGTGACCACTCCTTTGAGAAACATGCCCCTGTATAAATGCCAAAGTTGGCCTTCCACAGCAAAAACAATGAGCTCCTAGACACTTTGCCTAGAGCCTCCAACTTACCATAAAAAAGCTCTTGGGAGCACCACTTAAAGAAAATCCTAAACAGTTTCACAGCTAAACCCGGGAACTGTCCCCTTGGTCCACAGCGTTTGCTGTAGAGAATACATTTTCTGCTACTACACTTGAGCATATCCCTTGATCATCCTGTTAACTGCCCGTCTACTGATAATAAAGACCAATGTCACTTAAAAAGCAAAAATGAAAAGTTGCCTAATACTGTTCAGTAGTGATCCTTATCCAACAATAACTAGGGTTTAGGAGACAAACATACAAGACACATGGAATCTCATGTCTCTTGTATGTTTCAAAGGTATCTGATTTGGAAGAGAGAAGTCACAAGGAATAGATAAGAAACGGTATTTGAGGTCCATAAACACTCTCATCTCAGAGAATTTGGGTTCTATAAACCATGAATATCTCAGCATCCCTCTGCTGGTCTCATATAATACACCCTACTCTCTCCCTATAAACAAGGTTCTACATACTTCTTAGAGTCAAATATGCTTTATTTCTCAATGATTTAAGTCCCAAACTTACTCCCAAACCCAGCAACCTTAGGAAAATACTGTACGCTATTCAATAAAAAAGGATAGTAGGGACACTAAAAATTTAGCTTGTATAACCAATCATTAAGGATTTGTTGGCTGCCTACTGCATGAAAGGCACTGTGCTACACCAATTACATTATTTATTCCCTAAAACTTCACAGTCTTAAACAAGGTTCCATCTGCGAAGTGGTACAGAGCCATCCTTTGTTGCCACATCATGGTTCAAGGCTGCCTGGACTCTGCCACAGGAATGTCACATTTATAGGGCTTTGCACAGATGTTTGCTTTTTGTTCCTTTCCACTGAGAAGATGGAGGAGGAAGACTGACTCTGCTTCCAACTGTGTTCTATACCTGGTTTTATGTGCTTTGATAGAAGATAACAAAAACCTTTCTGCATATTAGATAAATACGTATTTTTGTTTCATCAAGAGATGACATTAAAAGAGGCACAGCCAACACAAGTGTCTTCCATGTGTGAGGACAGTAAAATGATCAGGCTTCCCAGGATGATGAGATGATGACTGAAATAATTTGCAGATTAAAAATGTCTTTTTCATTAGAAACTCAAAAAATAATCTTTTTGGTTAAACAAAGCAAAACATAGACCAAATAATCTCACTTGATTTTACTATACCAGGTGAAGGCAAACCAAATATAAATAAATTTGAATATTTAACTCTGGTTAAACTTTATGTTGACTGTGCTCTCTTAATTTTGTCAATATGTACAGTGGTTACATATAAAATACTTCCTAATCAATTATCAAATTTAGAGAGCATTATGAAACATACCTTGAAATTTAAACCATTGTTCTTACAGATTACATAGGGTAAGGCAGAGACATAGTAGGTTCTTTAATCAGCTGCCTTTAAGGGCATGGCTTCCTCAAAAATACTCTGAAACATTTTACTTAAAGAGTATATGGAAGATAAATTGTCAAAATTCCCTACGACAGGTGTTTGCTTTTAATCAACCTATGTCTAAACTCTACCAGACATTTTAAGGGGAGTTACTTCTAGAGGCTTTTTAACAGAATCTCTTGTGCGTAACAAGGCGAGGCATGGAGAACACTTTGAGGAATAACACACTGTGTGTTTGCTCATTATCCCAAGTCCCTGGAGTGTACCACACTGCTTTACACATGTCCCCTGGGAAAAGAGCATCCACATTTCTGCATCTTGGGAGAACAGGGAAGCTGGCAAGAACGTGTCTTCAATTCAAACTGATTCCTCCAGCAGCATCCATTCAAATAATAATACAAGTGAGAAAATTAGACGGTTATAAAGCATTATTTGGCAAAGACACAGCACCGTGCCTGTCATCACTGACTCACAAGAGCTCCTCTAAGCCTCAGCTAACAGATTAAATAAACATAGAAATAGATGCATTTTTTTCCTTTTTAAAGAAAGCTTGTTTATATCATCATTTACCATAGGATACGCTGGGGAGTTTATTCAAGAATTTGCTGAGACTCATATCCTTATTTCTCACGTTTCCAAGGTTCTTCCTCAACACTGCAGTCGGCTGACTTTCCATTGGCTGCCAGAGTTACCTGAAAATAATTATCATCAACATCCAGCTTACAGGCCATGAACCAGAAAAAAGCCCTGTGCGTTATGTGGAGAAGCACCAAATCCAAGGTTATACTACATGACTGAAATATTAGTTTTAAACAGAGTTCTTTCAAAATTGAATTTGAATCTGTCTTGGGTTTCAACAGTGATCTGAGAATTTTAAAAATCCATATTTGCCTTGGGAGTATCAATGTATTAAAGCTACTTTGCAATTTGGGGAACAACTTCTATGTTTTTGATAGCTACCCAGTGATCCAGCACACAATAACACAGTCCTTAAAATATAGTGCCCATGTGCTACTCCATACAACCACAGAGGAAGAAATCCAGAACTAGGCATCTAGTTCTACTCATGCATGTGAAAGGTTCAGTTGCAATGGCACCAGGTAGATGGGCATACGTGTCCTATTTTTAAATCAGAAATCATGACGTTTCAGCTGTGCCAAATAAGCTATCCCAGCTTTAAAAATTAAAGAGAAAAGTTGGGGGAATTAAAAGTCTGAGATCAATGACAATGTTTATCTAAATGACTTCAATGCAGCCATTTAATAATCATATGTAATTACCAGACCATCTGTATTATGCATCCCTGGCTCAAAGTGAACTGAACCTTTATGCAGAATAGGAGGTTTTCTCCTCCATGTCTAAGTAGTTTTCCTAGCTTACCTTCTGTCTGACTGTCCTCAACGTCATGTGCAAACTTAAACCCACGACTGATATTCCACATAATGGAGAGACTGGATTTATGAAAGCATTAGAATATGGAGACATGACAAACACAGCAATGTTTGAAAGAAATCTTTCTTCTTACCCAAGTGGAAGTGAAATGCATGCATCATGACCACATACAACATGCTAGGAACAGAAAACCAAGTGCCCTTGAACGAATCAAGTAAAGGAAAATAAAACCATTTATCCAATCCCCATTAGCCCCCATTTTTTTTTTCCAGAAAAACAGACCATGCAATTAACAATGACTGTTCCACATGCGGTTATTCTGATTAAACTTGAAAAAGTATTGTGTAACTTCAAACTACTATTACCAGGCAAGAGTTTGAATACACAGACCGACAAGACACAACAATGTTTGAAATGGTTAAAGTTTTGACCAGAGCTGCAGCAAATTTGTTTCCCTTTCAGTGAACTGTCAAGAAAGACTGCCAGGGACAGAATGTCTGCCTGGAGAAAGTTGCCTGTTCACTATGACCTTGAATGTGACTATTTGGCTCTCAGTGATGAACCACATCACTAATGGTACAAAATTATCAATCATAGTGTGGTGCCTTTGGAAGAGCCAGACAGCACTTGGTGGGAGGTGTTTTTGTTTTGTTTTTTTGTTTGTAAATACTGAGGCCTATGTTTCAAATGTATCTGGGACAGCAGCTTTTCTGTCATTTCCTTTCTTGGCTGGGCTAAAGAAAGCTAGGACTCCATTCCCCAACCTAGCCCATCCCACTCCTCTCTGCTCCAAATACTTGGGTAATAGAAAAGAAAAAGAGGAAGGCATTGGCAGCAAGCACTGACATCTCAGTTTTTAAAAAGTGGGAAATAGAATTAACCATAAGGAAGTTCAAAGGAATAAATAGATGTGACCCAGATATCCTCAGAAAGGGTGTAAATTCATCTCCATGGCTCTGGGTGTCTCCTTCCCACATCATCATCAACACAGTTAACTGATTTAGAGTGAGAAGAATCAACTTGCTTTACCTAGCGAAGGCTGAGATCAAATAGCTTTCACTGAGCTGAACCCAACCATTTCATTAAAAATGTAAACAGCTGAAATAGTTGATAAACCAACAGAGCTATATTCATCATCTTCAAGATATGCTCAGTTTGACCATTGCCCACCTAAATGCTAATTAACCAATGAGTTTGCAGGTGGTCAGCTGGCTAGCTATAGAGACTGAGTCACTATCTCCACGGAACTGTCCAGCAAAAAGATTATCTGAAATATAGCAAGGACTAAAGATGCTAAAATGATACATTCAACCAATATTTATTGAGCCCCCTACAACATGCCAGACACTGTTTTAGGTGCTGGGTCACAGTAGTATAACTGGGGACAAAGCCTTACTCCTAATGACCTTACTTTCTACTAATGTGGATAATTCACAAACATTTTCCTATAGGGCTTGAAATATTTTGCTTTAAAAAATGAAGCAAATTTATCCTGCTGTGCTTGATGTCCTTCAAAAACAAATACAGGAAGTCTGAAATCTAAAGATATCTCCATGCCCACACACCTCCTTTTTCAAAAAGTGTCCTACAAAATATTAAGAAGCCTCTTGAGAAACTCCAAAAGGACCATACACAATTAACTGCCAGGATTCTTCTCAAATATAATTATGAAATTTTTAAAAATTGTGATTTTTTTGTTATACATAATTTTCCTCATATGGCAATAATTTGAGTTCAAGTCTTATCACTATTACAACACTGTACATTCTTTTTCTTGTCCTCTAGTGCCTAATTTATGGCTTTATAGATAATAGACATTCAATAGATACTTGATGAATAATCAAAATATAGGATCTTACAGGAAGGAGACAGGGGCACTCAACCAAACCTTACTAGGCACACAATAAGTACTTAAATATAGTAGAACATGGAGCCATTCACAAGATTACTGACCCTTGTGGATTTAAACTAACATTTTGATGGGGAATAATCCAGCCCTTCACTCAGATATGGGAAACACTAGCTTTCCAGGAGAATGGTTTATGCCCTTTAGGTACATCTGAATTTCTAATAATTTGAATCATTTTCACTGAGGCAATTAATACACTTATGCAATTGCCTCTTGATGGGTAGCTTTCCTCCCTAATTTGTATCAGAGTCCTTGTTCTCCCACATATGTATCCTACATAGAGAGGACAAGCAAAGGCCTGTGCTAGTTCACTAGAATTCTGGACCTATGTTATAATCCAGCAAACAGAATTGCTTCTGTGACACCCTTCATTGCCCAGCAAGAGCCATGGTATGACATGTATTTGTAATGACCCAGAAATAATATAGGAAGAAATTAGTCATTAAATGTGACCTTGTCAACAGAAGTCAAAAAGGTACCAGAGATCTCTGGGTGGGTTCAGACTGTCCTCAGCTGCTGTGTGAAATCATCTTAGCAAACCAACCCCTAGACTTGATTCTGCTCACCTGCCAGGGTTTCTCCAAGTTTGCTTTACTCTGGTCATGACATTCTGACTTTGACAATGTCAGATTAGTTACAATGAAGGCTAGACAGAGCTCATCAGGCTTGAAGAATTAGCACCCAACAGCTTGGAGGAGAGCCCAGAACATCCATGCTGCAGAAAGATGGCGCGGCCAGGCAGTATATGAGATGTAATGTTTTTAAAATGACATTTCTGGATAATTGTCCTGAAGGATAGCTGTTCTTTACTTGAAATTGTTTACTCACTTTTGGAGCAAGGTACTCTCAGGTCAAAATTCACCCTTCCCACAAAAATAGTTAAGAAAAAGATAGTTGTGTAAAGTTATGTGGGCACATTTTTGACCAATATGTGATATATAGAAAGGAGGAATATCTGTCCTAGGTTCATCAGATGATGCTTGGGAGTTCTCTTGATGCTTCATCTGAGGAATCAAATATTTGAAAATCAGCAAAGCTCTACAAACCACAAATTCTTGGGCAAAATATTCAAGGTAACTGGTCAAATTAGTCAAGTGGGGTGGATGGGGAAGTCAGAATGGTTGTTGTACACCACATGGATAAAATAATCAACTGATTGACTCTTTCACTGTCAGACCTGTTGATTTCCTGCCAAGTTAGACACAGAATTAGATGATCTGGGACTCACAGAAGCTTGGGTTACATGATTCTTTAGGAAAATAAATGTGACAATAATACATGCAGGGCGTTATGGTTTTGTTTGTTTGTTTTAAAGAAATGAGCATGCACTACTATATACAGGTCTCAATATCCATGAATGGGAAATGTACCTTGCACTCATCTACTATGACAGAGTTGTGTGCAGCATAGACACACTGATTAGAGTTGCTTTCCCTGTGGTTCTTCATGTCATCATAAATGGATTGAGTCTTGGTCATTTCAATATCTTCATGCACTCGATGCTGGGAGTCAATGGTATCCAGCTCAGACTTGGAGAGGTGATAGACTATCCCAGCCCCAAATGAGTCACCTACAACATTGACTGAAGTTCTCATTCTGTCCCTGGGGACAAAGAACAGAAAAGATTCAGTGAGGAAGCAGTATTATATGGTAGTTGAGAAGTCAAGGTCTAGAGTCAGAGAGACATAGGGTTGAGTTCCAGCTCTACCTTTTGCCTCTGCCTGATCTGGGGCAAGTTACTTAACCTTCATGAGGCTTGACTTGCTTGTCACCTGGAGATGGTGCTTATACTTCTCTCATAGACGGTGTGAAAATTCAGTGAGTTAATGTACGTAAAGTGCTTAGCAAAATGTCTGGCAAATGGTAAACATCAATAACCAGTCGCAAGGGAAAAGTAGGAGGAGGAGGAGGAAAGAAAGGATGAAAGAAAAACAGTGTGTCCAAATCAGAATTAGTACACAGGCTCCAGACACACCTAGCTGAGTCCAGAAATCCCTCCTGATTTAAACTGTTCTGTTTTTGAAGACACTACACTATCTCTGCTTATCTTACTTATTAGTAGTATTGGAAAGACTAACCACCTGTGAACTTTCTCATAGTAGAAAATGTATTCATTTCTAGGAATGGAAACTAATTCTTCCTTTCTCCCTGCACCCCCTTCCCTCACACACAGACACAGCTGTTAGATAAGAAATCCAGTCATAACTTTCTCATTGAACACTATGTGTTATGACTGCATGTCCTGAAAAAAAAATACTTTATCTTGCTCTACTAACCTAAAAAATTTGAATCTTCCAGAGTGTTTCAGGAACCAGGGAATATTAAGAAAATCTTTTTCCCAATCTTGTGTTGCAAGTTTTGACTTGAAAGTATGATGGCTGATAACCCTCTCTCTTAGAAATACAGTGCCCGGAAAGAGTAGGTTTTGTCCTCTCAACTATCAGTTCAAGCCAAATCAGTGTGAAGAATCCTTTTGGCCATGTTTACCAGATATTCAAAGTCTTAAAAGGAAGGATGCTGGAAAACCACAAAAAATGTTTTTAAAATGTTTAAAATGAAGGAGTAGACGTAAAGATGCTGCTGAGGGCCGGGCGTGGTGGCTCAAGCCTGTAATCCCAGCACTTTGGGAGGCTGAGGTGGGTGGATCATAAGGTCAAGAGATCGAGACCATCCTGGTCAACATGGTGAGACCCCGTCTCTACTAAAAATACAAAAAATTAGCTGGGCATGGTGGCGTGTGCCTGTAATCCCAGCTACTCAGGAGGCTGAGGCAGGAGAATTGCCTGAACCCAGGAGGCGGAGGTTGCGGTGAGCCAAGATTACGCCATTGAACTCCAGCCTGGGTAACAAGCGCGAAACTCCGTCTCAAAAAAAAAAAAGATGCTGCTGAGACAGTCTTGGTCCAGGACATTCTAGCTTTCAATTCAAAGAGTATTCATTCCAGGCAGAGAAGAAACCTCAATTTGTTCTTGGAACAAAGACTCAAAATAAATTCTAGTTGCTATTATCAAATCTATTTCTTATTGGAGAATAAAAAGGACACTCCACTAGGAAGTCTGGCCTGGCTCCCTTGCAAGGCCAGTTGTTTGCAAGGTATAAGCTGGTGGTCTTTCTAATTTCAACTAGAAAGAAAATATGTAGGAAAAAATGTGCTCAGAGCTGGAGTTTAACTCTCATGGGCATCTTTCCATCTGAGAATGCTTTTGCGCCTCTTCTGCTTTGGAGAATCTGCCTCAGGGTGACTGGTCTACACCTGAATGAAGACTGGGTCTTGGAGGTTATCCATAAAATCGGCCACTTGGAATAGATTGCTAAGAAGCCCAGTATGTGGGTTTAGGAAGGAATGCATGATAGTAGCTAAGAAAAAGCATAGACGTTAGAGGCAGCCTGATTTGGATTCAAATGCTAGCTATGTCCCTTACCTGTGGGACAACCCTGATCATACTTGACATTTGTGAGCCTTAGTTGCCTCATTTATAAAATGAAAATAATAAAAATCTCCGAAAAATAAGGTTGTTGTGAAGATTAAATAAGATAAAGTGCTTACATGCTTCCAGAGATTTAATAAGAACTCAAAAAATTATTTCATCTATAATGTATGATTTTAATATTATAAATTATATCAAATCAATTCAAACACATTTGTGGCAGCTTCTAGGTAGCTCATCCAAATATGGCTAGTTAAGTTACTCTCTCCCTCTGAAAACATTAACCCTATTTATAGCACAACAACTTCCATGTCGAAACTCCCAACTAACTAGCTGACCTATGTGCCTGTTAGACGGTTGCGGTCTAGTTTGGAGCTACTCCACTATACTTTCATTCCCTCCTGGAATGAAAGTCATATATCAGTGAAAGGAAAGTAAACTCCAGACCCCCAATTTACTATGCCAAAATGAAAAAAAAAAATAAGCTGAAAGTTGAATTATGCAAGAAACTGCCTTTCCTTTTGTTCCTAATCTAATAGTTAAATATCTCCACCGGTAGCTACTACTCTTTGTTCACCTGATCTTCTGCAAAGCGCCGCCAATTTACTGAGCACAAGACAAATACATCATTGTCTATTCCTTACCAGCTTCTTTTCCCTGCCAACATGTGGATTCAGTAATGTGACCAGACTCTTCCTTTTTTCCCACCAGTCTGCTTTTCCACTTTAAATATGGAATCCCTCAGAATCATCATTGGAGAAAAGTACAGGCTGCAGACTATTTCTGTGATTCTGTATTTCTTTTTGGTCATGTCTTTAACCTTGGAAAAATAAACTTCTAAATGGATTGAGACCTGACTCAGATACTTTTTAGTTTACATATCCAATACCTTTGCCCCATTGCAAAATTCCAAAGAATGCCAAAGTCTTCCAGAGCAATACTCTGAGTACCCATTGATCTTATAGCCCAGAATAATCTGCATTATTGGCAAAAAAAAGAGCCCAAAGGTAATGGTGGTGATGGTGGTAGTGATAATGATGATATTTAAATTTATATCACACTTACTACGTATAAGAATATACTTTATAGGCTGGGCATGGTGGCTCATGCCTGTAATCGCAGCACTTTGGGAGGCCAAGGTGGGCAGATCACCTGAGGCCAGGCATTTGAGACCAGCTTGGCTAATGAGGTAAAACTCCATCTCTACTAAAAGTACAAAATAAGTTGGGCATGGTGGTATACACCTATAATCCCAGATGCTCAGGGGGCTGAGACAGGAGAATCACTTGAACTTGAGAGACAGAGATTACAGTGAGCCAAGATCATGCCACTGAACTCCAGCCTGGTGAGAGAGGTGAGATTCTGCCCAAAAATATATATATATACTTTATAGATACTACCTTATTTAATCCTCGCTATAACTCTGAAGAGGTCCTATTACTCATATTTACTAGGTAACAGAACTGAGGCCTGGAGAGATTAGTGGCTTCCCGAAGTCCCACATCCTAGTAAAGGCATACAACAAATGTGAACCCAGGCAGTACCATTCTGGAATCCTCCATCTGCCACATGTTGAGAAGCACCCTGGAACTACACAGCCCTGATTTTGAATCTAGCTTAGCCACTTACTAATTGTGTGATCTTGATGACTTACTGCTGTGATCTGAATGTTTGCATCCCTGCAAAATTCATATGATGAAACCTAATCTCCAAGGTGATGCTATTTGGAGGTGGAGCCATTGGGAGGTGATTAGGTCACATGGATGGAGCCTTCATGAGTGGGACCAGTGACTTCAGAAGAGAGGCCCAACAGAGACTCCTTGGCCCTTCTACCATGTGAGGTTAGAGTGATAAACATAGCTGTCTATGAGGAAGCAGGCCCTCACCAGACACAAAATCTGCCAGTGCCTTCATCTTGGACTTCCAAGCCTCCACAGAATTGTAAGAAATAAATTTTTGTTGTTTATAAGCTACCTGGTCTATGGTACCTTGTTATAGCAGTCTGGATAGATTAAGACACTTGCTCAACTATAATTTTTCTCATGTAGCCAAAATAACTATTAATACTTCATAGAATTTGGGGAAGTTCAGTTCCTAGCCCATGGTTGACACTCATTATGTGCTGGGTCGTTCCCTTATTGTGAATAACTCCACTCACAAACCATCTTCTGAACAAAAGAATAAAATACTATGCTAAAGGGTTAATGACATTTTCAGTTTGATACATCCATTTCCACTCAAATCGTTGATGTAGGTTTACAAACTACGGCTTCTTCAACCTTTGATATCAAATCCTTCCTCTCCAGAGGCACCCACTGAAGCGGCCAAGTTTTTGGAACAGGGTTTCTGAGTAAGCTTTCCTCACATTTTTTTTTTAACTACCACATCTCTTCCAGGCCATCAGATCTCCCCAAATTTGAAAAAGAACTCTTGCCAGTGAAATAGCCATTAGGACAGGAATGAATGGAAGACAGAGTTGTACAGACTAAAAACAGAATGGCCAGACGCAGTGACTCACGCCTGTAATTCCAACACTTTGGGAGGCTGAGGTGGGCAGATTACTTGAGGTCAGGAGTCTGAGACTAGCCTAATCTCTACTAAACTCAGTCTCTACTAAAAATACAAAAATTATCTGGGCATGGTGGTGCATGCCTATAATTCCAACTATTTTGAAGGCTGAGGCAGAAGAATCATTTAAGCCCATCAGGCAGAGGCTGCAGTGAGGTGGGATTGTGTCACTGCACTCCAGCCTGGGCTACAGAGCAAGACTTGGTCTCAAAAATGAATAAATGAATGAATGAATGCATGAATAAATAATAAATAATTTTTTAAAAAGAATAAAAGCATATTGATGCTTTTATTTATTTATTGATGCCAAATCAAGATGGAAAGGGCCCTGGACCTAGGGTGAGAATGCTAACCCAGGGCTTTTGATTCCCACTTGAGAAAATCACTTTTCACCTGAGCATGAAATAAGGATTGAGGCTTAACCCAACCTCACAGGAGGTTGTATTAAGTGAAATAAGAGAAATATTAGACATGCTTTAAGTACTTATTGTAGGTTACATTAATTGAACCTACATGAACATTAAAGTGTTCCTTTTCTTACACTGTCAATAGCTAAGTAGAAAGAAAAAGAAAACATCAACTCTAATGCTTTCTGAGTTCTTTGTT